GCCATATAAAGCAGCAGAGAAGGGGGGATGCTCAGGGAAACTGTGGCTGTCTGGTCACTTTGCTGAGGTTTTTTAAGAGCCATAGTAGAAACTTGAAATCTTGGTTTCTGATTTCAGTGTAAAAATATGTTGTTGATTACGCTGTTTTCATTCTCAGGAATTGCACTGGAGTTGAACTGTGTGAAATACTCCTAAGTTGCAAACTGAACAAGGGGCAAAGTGCATTTCTGTTGCTGCCTGTCTTATTTTGAAATCTCAGAGATTTTGTGAGTGAGTTTGCAAAAGCACAATCCACTTGGCCAACTCATGGAGAACTGGGATTCAAGCTGGGATAATCAGCCTGAGTCCTCCTATCCTTTTGCCTTCAGAGAAGGTGTAATCTGCTAACATTTTACACTCATTTTGTCTGGATATTAAAATATGCAAAAGCACTGCAAAAGCAGAGCCAGTATTCCCAGTTCTTACAGTGTACCAAAGTAAATCAAGACTAATTCAATTAAATTTCTGGGGCCTTTATTAACACAAAATAAATGTATTATTACCCTCTGAAGTTTCTGTACTCTGTTAGGGCAGAACAGAGGGCAAAGAACTTGTAAAACTAGTAAAATCAGAGACGAGATCAGATTTGCCAACTAAAAGTAAGTACAGAAGAAAAATAGACACCTGATTCAGGGAGGAGTAATGAATGCATAGCTGATGTGAAACAATAATGGACTGTAACCACAGAAATGATTGCAAAGTTAATCTTAAAAATCAAGTAACTTAATTCTGATCCCCGTGATTTTGATCAAAATCAACTTGAAAAGAATGTGTAATGATTTCGCACTGATGTTACCTCAATTAGTGGAAAAGTGTAAGAAACAAAAGGAATAAAATACTTTTAATCTTGAAAAAGGAGAGCTTCCTGGGGTGTGTGGAAGCTGTGTACATGCTGCAAACATGATAAAGCTTCCTCGTAAGGAGTAATGAGTTAGTGAACCTTTTTCAAGTACAACAGTTCTCTTTTTGAAGCTAATATTTGCCTTGTAGTAGCAGAGTTTCACAGTCACTACAAAGTGGTTGTTCATTTCTATTGCTGGGTATATGCTACAGCTACAGTCAGTGCACAGTCAGTTGCCTTTTAAGTGTGATCTATAATGATAAATCAGTTCAAGGGCAAGAGTTCAGGCAAAAGGCAAAAATACGGCCTGCAAACATTAGTTATAATATTGTGAATCTGCCTAGAAGATAGTTCTGCTGGAGCTTTCAATTTATTTCATTCAGTATACAAATACACATAAAATATAAGGAACTAATCAACACCTCACAGATGTAATCTCATTACCTTTGTTACTGAAGGTACTGACTACACTCTTTTCTCAGGAATTGCACCACAGTTGAACTGGAGTTGAAATTACCAATCCTAGTGATCCATTCCCTAGTCTTCTGACACAACGGGGATTTGCAATCAAATATGATTGTCCTAAACTGGAATACCACTGCAAAGGTGCTTACATTTTCTCTGCTGTGGTCTTGATGGTAAATAAGACGCTCAGCTCTCCTTGAAGAAGGCAAGAGTTCTCAATATGCCAGAAAACACACAGCAACGGACATTAACAGAACAAGAGCAACTGAAACCACATTTATATGATATACTAACACGCTCGGGAAATACGGAGGAGACAAACTCGGATTGATCCTATAGCTTATGTTGAGAAATCTCATTATAATATTCAGCTGAAGAGAAAGAATAATCCAGTAAGAAATATAATACCTAACATATAACACCTTTCTATTTAACGAGCAGTTATATACATGTTTGCTTCATAGTATTAATACCCAGTTGGCTGAAAGCTATGAATTGCTAAAATTTATCTTGAAATGCAAGTAACCAAACAACAAAATGAACATGGTCCTAGAGAGACATGGGCAGCATGTAGTACGTAGGTGCTTCCAGCATCTTTGAGGTATTAGTTGGTGGGTAAAATAGCACAAGTAAATTCATCATTGTAATGAATGGCTATAAAAAAAAGGGGATGTGAAAACGCCAGATCAGGACTGACTACAAACAGAAGATGAATTTCTAAAAATCTGACATTTGGTAATAAACATCCTGTATTCTGCAGCAAAGTTCTCTGAAAAGCTCATGCTGTGAAAAAACAGAACAGTAACTCTTACCTTAACTGAGATAAAACCAAATGTGAATTTAACTCCTCGTAGTTAACAGTTATATTGTTAAAGGTAACAATTATTAGCATATTTAACAGTAATAAAATGTTTAGTTTGAATACTACAGTCCTCAGCGACAACCAAAATTTGATTTTCTATTTCTTCAGACAGAATCCACCCACTCTTATTAGATGAGTGTGTTCCAGAGCCTGATCTTGTACTGAAAAAATTTTCTAGTCCTTGTGGTTGCAAAGATAACTTTCAGAATATGAACTGACTGTAAGCAAGTCTGCCCAAGTATGAAGATGGCCTGGCAGAACAAGTCTGCAAGAAAGTACATTCTGAAGAAAAAAATTCAAATTTCCATTTATTTAATCATATTCCAAACAGTATAATCTTTGTTCAGTTTTAACTGTAAAAATATTACAATTAAAATTAATTAACTGTAAAAAATGTTACAATTATTATTGGCCAAGAGGGCCAATGGTATCCTGGGGGGCAGTAAGAAAAGTGTGTCCAGCAGGTCTAGGGAAGTTCTCCTCCCCCTCTTCTCTTCCGTGGTGACCACACTTGGAATACTGTGTCCAGTTTTGGGCTCCCCATTTCGGGAGAGACAGGGATCTAGTGGAGACAGTCCAATGGAGAGCCACGAGGATGATCATGGACTTGAACGTCTCTCCTGTGAAGAAAGACTGAGAGAACTGAGGCTGTTCAGCCATGAAAAGAGAGGGCTGAGAGGGGACCTTATTCATGTATATAAATACCTGAGGAGCCGGGGTCAAGAGGAAGGTGCCGATCTCTTCACAGCGGTGCCCAGTAATAGGACAAGGAATAATGTGTGTAAGCTAGAACATAGGAAGTTCTGTCTCAACACGAGGAGAAACTTTTTCTCTGTGAGGGTGACAGAGCCCTGGCACAGGCTGCCCAGAGAGGTTGTGGAGTCTCCTCCTCTGGAGACATTCAAAACCCGCCTGGACGTGTTCCTGTGTGGCTGCCCTAGGGGATCCTGCTCTGGCAGGGGGGTTGGACTAGATGATCTCTAGAGGTCCCTTCCAACCCCTAATGTTCTATGAATCTATGATTCTATGACATGATTCTTATCTTGTCTTTAGCATGGAAAGAACAAAACTTAAGTTTTGCATGTAAAATGAAATTACATCAGTCCTTGCACATTTCTGCAGATGAAAGTAGGGTTGCTTGTTCTCTCTTTTCCATTTCATACTCTTGTAGATAATAACACATCACACATACTGTAATTATCAGAAATGCTTGTTCTGCCACAGGTTTATTTTGTGAAGTATAAATCTCTTTTAGTTCCATAAAATAGTTCCAGATCTGGATCTGACAATCTTCAAAAATTCAGCAAAATTAGGTTTTAGAAGCTTGAGTGGACTTACAATTTGTACTTCATAATGCATCATTTGCTGTCTTCCTCTGAAGCAAATATAAGTATCTCCAAATTTAGATGGCATCATTAAAAATATTCTGTGTTCTAGCCTTTGTTAAGTAAGGCTTAATACAAATGCAATGACTGCACAGTAGTAATAATTAGCTAATTATCCAGTAGAACAATTACTATTACTGCCTTTTAAAATGTGCCCCTTCTTTATACAGCTGTTATAACATCTACTATGATGTTGACGAAGTTATATATCTGGCTTAAGCGCTTGATATTTTAATTTCAAATCTAATGCTTTCTGTTTAAAATAAAACGAAATAAAATGGTAAAAGCATAATAACTGCTGAGCTATATCACACAAAGATCTCACCTCTTATTCACTGTCCTACACTTGATAAAGGCTCAGTAGCAGAGACTTAGGAAAGAAGATTACAAAACAGTAGTGCCAGAATGACTTCTCCTTCCAGTGAGAAGGTTTAGTGACTTCATTTTTCAAAAGAACTATTCATGGTGACTGTTAACATCCCTTTCTTGAGTAGAATCAACTAAGTCAGAGCACAGCACTTTGTATGGACTTAATAATTTTTCACTTATTACATTTACTGACATTGAATGCAATCTGACATCTTACTGCCAGGAACCAGTAAAGGGAGGTCTTCTGTGACTCTGCAGTCAGTTGTAGATTTGACTATCCTGAATGATTTTGTATCCTGTATCTTGTATGTACACTTGTTTATAGCTTTAACGGCTACAGCCAGAAAGATTACTGTTTACATGCTAATTATTCATAGCTATTCACATGAACTGATATATTCATGTTTGCTATGTAAATGTCTCCCGGGAAATACTAATGTAAACCCCAGCCACTCATTCACATCTTTCCAAATGGATGCCTTTTTGTTGTCTTGTCGTACAGCCCACATGTATGATGCTAGTCCTATAAGACATAATAGGGAACAAATTATGTGTGTACAATATTTACTCCACACACTTAAGAATCTGGCATTGAATATTGTCATGAGTTTCAAGTGGTACATTTACAATGGCAATAATTTACTTGCGTGCAGCATGAGAATTTGGCTCTGAGGTATTTCATTATGAACCGTGGGATATACTTTGACTGCTTGGTCATGGTAATTGCAACCATTTATGACAAGGCTGAGTTAGATTTTCATTTTTCAGTACTAGTGGCTGAAGCACAATAATAAAAAAATGTTAACAATGCAAGTTACTATTACAACAATACAAGGTCAACATCTAAGTTTAAACTTCCACCCTTTGTGCTTCTATAGTAGCAGTCACTTCTCAGATTCACTCAGTACTAAGGATATGCTTCAGGTACGGAGAATTCAAGGCTACAATGGCTATATCTAATACAAGAAATAATTACAATTGTTACTGTTTAAATAAGTTACCGTTTAAATATTGTGATTATTTTATATCTTCTCTTTAGCTCCTTGCTCAGAAGTGGCCTTTTGGAGATTCTGAATTTGGGCAGTTTCTTTGCAAATTTCTTCCCTTTATACAGAAGGCATCGGTGGGAATCACAGTCCTTAATCTCTGTGCCCTTAGTGTGGACAGGTACAGTATGTTTTATTCTTTTGACAGACACTGTTCTTGCCCTTGCAGTTTTCCTAAAATTGTGAGCACTCAGTATGGTCTTCTTAGCAAGCAGTCTGCAGTATAGATGTAACTTTGATTCTAGTTTTTGATATCCTGGCTATAACAAAGCACCACATCTGTGGTGCCATTGGACTAATTAACTCTACAGGGTTTATGAGGTATTTATAAGTTCTTGTAAAGCATTATTTTAATTTCCTTCACCAGACAAAATTTATTGAGATTTGACTCAATATTCAGACCTCATGTTTGTTTTGCATTTGAACAGAATCACAATATTCGGTCTTTAAAATATTTTTTTTTTAACTCACTGCCTATGGACCATAATTAACAGTGTTTATTTTGATAACTTCTATAACTGGGCTTTATTGGAAAACAAGTTGGAAACTTGCTTTGATAGTTCGATGTTGATAGTTTGCAAATTAATGGCTCTGCCTAAAGTGCTCAGGAAGATATATAAACGTTTTGATAGAGCAACAGGTAAGATGCCTTTGAACATTTTCTTTTACTTTTGTTTTTCATACATGTAAGGGAATAGCAGATGAAGATTTTGCTTCGGCAAAAGCTATTTTTATTAGTCTTGAGTTTATTTGATCATGTGTCTAGACTTAAATATCAGTAATTCTGATATAGAAAATATTTATAAATAAAAGACATGATGTGTATTAGTAAAGTGATGCAAAGGTAAAAAACTTTTAAATTAATCTTGGTTTGTCTTTACCTAAAAAATTGATGTACAACTTTTGCAGCAGATGCGTAATTTAGTAGTATCCCGTACTTGAAATACAGATCCTTATTGCATTAGTTACTCGTTAGCTGAAGCCAGAAATTAAAAAAAAAAAAGTAACACAGGCAAATGTTTTATTACTATTTTTGAGTCTGGGAACAATAAAAGAATTCAGTTTCTCAAACAATATCTGCCCAGCATAAAATACAATCCCATGGACTGGTCTAAGGACGAAATCATAGATCAAGCACATAGGAAAGAGAAAGTTTGCTATATACATTCTGGTCAATGTAGTTTCACTAGATTTAGTCCTATGTCACATATGTTTTCATAAATTGGAAGTAATCTGAAGCTACCTCTTTATATACGCATATATGTTTACAAACACCGACTTCCTAATCCTCAAAACAACCAAATGCTGTTTCCATGTGAGTACAAAGTCTTATATAGGAACAGACTCAGACTATTTAATTTCCTCCCCTAGTTTACTTGCTTTGCCAAGGATATATTCTTTATCATCTGATGCTATTCTAGTCAATGGTTTCAGAGAATGTGTGTTAGAAAACAAATGTAGATAGATAGATTCTGATATTGGCTAACATGAAGTAAATCTAAGTTAGATCACCATGACATTAGGATCCAAGAGCACTTTCAATAAGTTGGGTTGGGCACTGGAAGTGGCATAGTCATATTAACACAAAAGTCCACGTCAGCTAATGTTTGGTTTTTAGTATGGTAAACGAGTAAATACAGAATTCCGTGCTGACACAGCTGGATTGGTTTTGCTCTTGAAAAGCATCTAATTTATAGTTACATTGGGTGTCTATATATGGAATTGCATTCTACAGGATAGAAAAGGATAGTCAGTTGGTATGATAAGTTCAAAGCTCTATAAGCTTTGATAAATGCTGAGTCTCTGTCCATCTTGCAGACTACACAATTAATTTAGAACAAGATTTTTTTTTTATTTTGCCTACAAGGACTGTTCTCTGTGCTAACTACATCCTCTTGTGAAACACCACTCATTACTACTGCCCCTCCTACAAAGTGACCTGCACTGACAGTGTATTAAGGTTTAACTGTGCCTGCCTAAGGGGAACAATGTGTGCTCACACGTGGAAAGGGCTTTAAGAGGCTGACAGAAAACACCAAATTGGCCATTTACCTTTCAGAGAAAGCACACATCTGGTTTAGATGCCTCTCAGGCACTTTTAAACTGTAGGTCACAACAGTGATTCTTTCTAAACAGTGCCTGATAGTGACTAAGAGGAAGGCTATTTCCCCTCATGAGCTTTTACTTTTGCTTGTATCTCTGGTATAAGATCTTTATGAAGAAATGGATCTCATTTAATATGTGCACGCCCTCTTCTTGCCTCCTCTGCATGTCGAATTGCATAGAACAGTAATCTCAGCATAGGTACTTTCAACTGGCCCAACTTCCACTAAGTGTATTAGATAAGAATTTATCAATAAAACAAAGCTCACAGAGCTTTATGATATTAAGAACTTTGCAATCAACACACTGCTGGCTATATTTATAATGAAGAACAGCAGTGACCTCTCACAACAGAAAGGAATAGATCAATATCAACAACAGTAGCCTCATTTAGGAACTGTTCTGACATTAATCTTGGCAGTGACTGCTTCTTACATCCCTGATCAAGTCTCTTATCTTTTCTGTGTTGCTTTTCCCTCTTAAAAAGGGCTGATGATACTTGCAGAACAGAAATATGTTGTACTAGTAGACCATTTGAAGAACTAATTTTCCAATGCAGTCAAAAGGGACAGGGAAACAAAAGCATCTACTCTGTAGAACAGCAGGCATAAGGCTTGTCCACAGACAGGCTGTAGTCTGGGATTTAATTTTCATATAGTCCTTGATTTCATTTCATAAGGCCCATAATACATATTTTTTAATTCTGATTAGATACCACTATGGTAAAATTCATTCAAGTTGTTCCAAAAACTTACCTGGGACACAGCAAAACCCACAACCATGCTGCATTAATGAGACCAATACTACAAGGCTAACGAGTTCTTGAATTACTTCTTTCCAATGAATTATGAAATCACAGAGAGAGCATAGAAAAACATCAGAACTGATTTTGTGGCCTTACAGATCTCAATTTGTTGCTTATAAAAAATTTTACTTAAGAAGCCACTTAAATATACTATCCAAGTACTGAAATCCAGATGATATACCAGATATCCCAGAGGTCTTTAGCATAGCAAAGAAATATATAATAAGAAGCTATAAAACAAGGTTTCCAGCAGGCAAATTCCAAATGAAAATACACATTTTTAACAATGATGGTGATTAACTACAAGGAGAAACCACCACAGAAAGGCAAAAGTGTCTTTTTCCTGCTCTTAATATTCTCAGATTAGGCAGGATACCCTTCTGAAAGAAATACTTCAAGCAAATTATAAAGGAGTGCAAATAATTTAATGGTTTGCCTGTATGTATACTTCATGACGTAATGATTCCTTGTCCTTAAATACTGTGATTCTCTAAATACAAGTAGCAGGAGGGATTGCAAAGTCCATGAAAAGCAAGTTGGAATAAACAGCTAAGAATGAGGGAAGAGGGAGGGGAAGAAAACAGAGGAGAGCAGGAAGCAGAAGGGCACAATATACTAAAGTTAGATTCATAGAATCAAAGAATAATAGAATGGTTTGGGTTGGAAGGGACCCTAAAGATCATCTACTTCCAAACCACCTGCCATGGGCAGGGACACCTCCGACAAGACCAGGTTTCTCAAAACACCATCCAGCCTGGCCTTGAATACTTCCAGGGGAGAAACATCCTCAGCTTTCCCTGGGCAACCTGTTCTAGGGTCTCAACACCCTCACAGTCAAAAATTTCCTCCTTACATCTAATCTAAATCCATGCTCTTTCAGTTGTAAACCACTGCCCCTTGTCCTATCACTACACTCCCTGATAAGAGTCCTTCCCCTTCTTTCCTGTAGGCTCCCTTTAAGTATTGGACGGCTGCTATAAGGTCTTCATGGCCCTCCTCTGGACTCGCTCCCACAGGTCCACATCTCTTTTATGCTAGGTGCCCCAGAATGAAACACAGAACTGCAGGTGGGATCTCACCAGAACAGTATAGAAGGGGAGACTTACTTCCCTTGACCTGCTGGCCAAGCTTCTCTTGATGTAGCCCAGGACATGATTGGCTTTCTGGGCTGTGAGCACACATTGCTGGCTCATATTCAGATTTTTATTCATCAACACCCCCAAGTCCTTCTCTCCAGGGCTGGTCTCAATCCACTCATTGCCCACCCTGTATTTGTCCCGACCCAGGTGCAGGACCTTGCACTTAGCTGTGTTGGGCTTCATGATGTTGGCACAGGCCCACCTCTCAAGCCTGTCAAGGTCCCTCTGGATGATGTTCTTCCCTCCAGCACCACACAACTTTGTAGCATCAGCAAACTAAGTTGACAGCAGTAGAAAATGAAAAGGGGGAGAAAGAAGAGGACCCATAACATCAGAGGAAAGGAAATGACCTGGAATAGAGCTGAGTATTTTAGACAAGGTTGGAGACAAAAGGGAAACAAGCAGAAAAAAAGAAAAGTAAGACAAAACACACGCACACAGATTTTAGATTGCGGAATTAAATGTAATGCATGGTGCATGTCAGTTCCTGGCAGACGTCCTATATTTTCTGACTATGAGGGAAATAAACCCTTCAGTATTTTCCCACTCCTAATTATGGGAGGTTTGTGGCTAGACAAGGATCCTATGTATTACATAACTCACAGAATACCCATGTGTTATTATTATACTACCACTATTTTTTCAAGTTGCTCTTACAGCAGTATATAAAGAGACCAAATAATTGCAGGTTAATATGCATTCAGCAATTTCTGATCTAATTACTGAGCTCCTTATGCTTTAGCTGAAACCATTCATAAAATTCTTCAGCCAGTAATTCCTTATCTGACAGTTATTTGAATTGTGAACTGAAAAAGACAATTGCTAATAAAATACATAAAGTACCTGAATCCTAACTGCTGTGTATACTGATCTTCTCACATACTAAACAGTTGTAACTCAAACAGAACAGGTACAAAAATGCAGGAAATGAAAGATTTGGATTCACAATTTACAACTCATTTGTTGTCACATAGTTACACGGATGACATAACACAAACTTTACATTTCTTACTTGAAAAGTATGTACAGTGTACAGGCCCCTGTTTGCTAAGAACATAATTCAATCAAGGATGAGGTGATACCTTGTGCAACTGATGGGACTGATTGTAAAATTGCCAGTCAGTAGAAAGTAAACCTCTAAATGTGAAATGATTGTTAAATTTCCAAAGTTCACAAATATTTGAGTATTTGTGTGAAAGGCTGTGTTTCTATGAATAATCCATTTAGTCATTAAAGCCAAAATTTGATATTTGGCAAAATTAAATATGAGAGGATCACAAATAACTTAAAATTAAATTTGAATTTTAACATGAATAAATATGCTGGAGAAGATATGATGCTGAATGTTACCCTCTCAATTATTTCAGTATAGTTTATTTCAATGCTCTCAGAATTCCAGTCTCGTAGACCTCCTCCCCATGAGTGAACCATTGCCTCCTCTCTTCTGATAGTTTTTGAAAATAGGGATGCTTTTAGAAGATGTTTGTATTTTTAATCTGCAAGTCCAAAATATAGTTTGATTTAGCATGCTCAAAATCTTTACACATATATTTCTGTTAAAATGACATACTGAGAACCTGACCGTAGTACACCTGTGACTATGCTGTGTATGATACTGCTATAGATATCAAAGCAAAAGCTTCTAGCCTGTTTACTGTGAGAATGATGGCATACAGGGCCCTGACACCTCTCATTGATGTTGTGTAACAATTCTTTCTGAAATTTTTGTGAGGAACTTACAGCCTGATCTTGCATCTTCCTTTCTCTAACATTGAGGCTAAAGAGGACTTAACTCCATCCTGTTGATAAGCACATTTCCAGATGAAAAAGGAAGGGTGATTCAGGAAATCAGAAGAAATGCTGTGTGTGTGAATCCCAGATTAGCATCTTGCTTAGAGGAGGGGTGAGATGCCTTCTAATAACTCTACATTTTACTGATCTCTGTAACTGAAGTCCTATTTTAACTATTTTTTTCATGAGAAGCTCTTCATTCCTTCCATCTCAGAAATTCAAAATCAAATAGTTCCCTGTACACTCAAAGCATCCTAACCCAGAGATCTCAGCTACACTTTTCCTTAAAACCTTGTTATCTCTTGAGTCTTCAAGCCTATGCCAAAATTCTGTATTCCTTCTAATCACCACTCTACCATCACACCCTAATCCTTCCACAACCTAATCCTCCATCCTAAAGTTTTCTAATCTAAATTCCCCTGTTCTTTCCTTCTCCTGCAAAACCTCACCTATCCCTGCAACTCAAGAGTGTACAGGTTTACTGTATCCTACTGGTCTGTTGCATGCATCTCCTTTTCCCACACCTTTCACCTTGCTTCCGTCTTCTGGTGCGCCCTTTGTACTCCGTCAGCTGCTATCACCAACTAAAATCACCACCCCATTTGCTTTTTGCAAAAATCACCCTTGGCTGGTGCTTTAGAAAGCTATTAAGAATATAGATGAAAGCTGCACATATCAAATTGTATGTGCCAGGATTCAAGAGGGCAGAAAATGAGGGCATGTCAGAGGAAGAAAAAAATACTTGCCATAGTCAGAACAGTAAAATGATACATCTCCTTACAATTCATAATCTGCTTCATTGGCTTCTTATTCTGACATATGTTAAAGCAGATGAAGAACCTTTCTTGACTTTTTTTCTCCTCAACTAAACAAGATTATTTCATCAGTGGATGCCATAATAGCAGTTATTCCAAATGGGGGGGGCTGTTATTTCTCAGAAGTAAAATAAGCCATTTAGAAACCATTACAGCACCAGTGACAGAAAGCTCTCCATTATGCATTTCAGATTATTACAAGATCAAAAATAATATTTCTTTCCATAATTTTTAGATAGCACTGTCTTTGCTAAATTGTTGGAAATACTATGTAACTCATTTACTGCAGTTATTGCTTGACTACAGTTAAATCTGCTACTGAAATTATTTTATGTACCTTATATGCCTATCTTATATGCCTGTCGATATTCTCAAAATAACTTTTGAACCTTTTGATCAGAGCTGATAGAGGTTGAGGTCTGAAAACCAATGTATTTCTACAAGTTCCTTGAAAACCGGCAGACAAGTAGAGAAAGACCTTTTCAGTTCCCTAAGGGTAACAGCCTGGTAGCAAGAACCTTCCAGTATTGGAGGGGTGGAGAAGGCAAAGTGAGAAAGAGGAAAAGAGAGAAATTCATGTACTTGAAACCTATTTAAGAGTTCTCACCTTCTATCAAGATTATAGTTATGAGAGACATACCCACAGGAAAGCAGGTTTCAGTAATTCCACTTCTTACAGACAAACTTGCTGTCTAAGTGGTAAAGTAGTGAGCCAATGTGTTTGTTTTGGCATGTTGACATGCACTTCAGTTTCTCATCAGAAAGGTGATGCAGAAGCTGAGATAGCTGTCAGGCAGCCCTAACTAGCTCTCAGTTGTGGTCTGAGTATTTTCACAATATTTCATTGCCTGGAAGCTGACACCTTCAGGTAGCACTGCTGTTACAGCCAGTTTGTATCTATTGGAACGGCTCAGGTGCCTGGAAGCTTTTTTTCTTCTGTTATGTCAGTTGATCAAGTGAAAGATATAGCCTATCCTCACAAACCTTGCCTACTTTAATTAGAAATCATTAGTGTAGTCCACCCAGAATTCCACACAATTCAGTGCCTAAGCAACAGTTGCACCCAGCTCTCTGCTACCTACCCCATGATGAGCTGTGCTGAGTCCTAGATGGCTTGATAGCTGGCAAAGCCACTGGAATAGGCAGAAAAAACAAGCAATAGAAATCTAAGATGTCAGCTTTAGGAATTGACAATACATAAAACTGAACAGAGAAGTTTGTAATTAAGGAAGAAATAGAAGGTTGGAAACTAATACCTCTCTTTTTTTCAGGTATAGAGCAGTTGCCTCCTGGAGCCGTGTTCAGGGAATTGGAATCCCTATGATCACTGCTATTGAAATTTTCTCCATTTGGCTTCTTTCTTTCATTCTGGCTATTCCAGAAGCAATTGGTTTTGCTGTGGTACCTTTCAGATACAAAGATGAAGGTTATGTTACCTGCATGCTCAATCCTACAAATAATTTTATGTTGGTAAGTAACATACTTCCTCCTCTTTTTTGAATCAACAGTACAGAAGTTAGACAATTAAGATACTGGATTATAATAAGCTTTATTCATCCATTAAAGTGCAAAATATATTCTAATGTATATTGGTGCAATGAAGATCCTTCATTTGCTGTAACCTGTCTCTGCTTTCTGCTAGAGATACTAAATGGGACTTTACATTTTTATTCTTCACTATTGAGGATTCTTAACAGACAATTTTGCAATTTAGGCCTGCTTAAAGTACCATCAAGAGATGTATCAGGGTAGCCAGAGCCTTGGAAGGTATTATGTTTCTAGGTATTACACCTTGGAGCTTGTAACCATCAAAACCCATGTTTTACCATAATTAGTCATCATTTTGCATGCAGTAGCCAGGTCTTTTGGCAGATAAAAGAAAGGGTGGAGCCATGCTCTAATATAACTTTCACAATTTCATATGCACTTACAAAGTCAACAGAAAATAATCCCTTCATTCACAAGAAATCTTGACTACAAATCTGACAGACTCACATCTCCAGCCTACGTAGCTTGGACACTGTCAGCTGTCATCTAGACACAGCAACTCAAGCATGAGATACACCAGGCTCTTTTGGCACATTTCATAGCCCTCAACCTCTGTACTAGTCAAGAGTTCAGCAGCTCAGCAGTTGCCTACATCCACATTAGCTTGTTCAAAGTAAGTCACATGATTAGTCACTACAGAATTAATAGATCTTTACAGCATAGGTGGATAGTGATTTTCTGCCTGGCCTTACACTGAGAAAATGGGAAAGTGCTATTTTAATTTTTGCTTTGAGAGGCCAAAGAAGGGCCAGCCACCAGTCAACCAATAATAATAAAAAAACCCAACCCCCCAAAAGATAATATTCTGTTTTGTCTCCAAGAGGGCAGATAGTGCAGGGTCTTAAATCTTGAAGGAAATTCCATATTTTTTTCTGGACTAGAACTTTTCATGATAGAGTGCAAGTTTCTCTTTTTCGAGTGTCTGACTTTTCTTTTATTGGATCAGAACATGGCTTGAGCTAGAATTGAGAAGGATAAGGCAAAATGGAGCTAGGGAATTTAGAAAATAAAAAGTATAGATAATTAGTGCTTTTCAGAGGAACATCCCCAACTTTGGTAGGGTTACACAGACTGCAGGGATGGCAGAAAGAGCAGGAGACAATTGCAAGACACGACAAAAGGAATTCCCTAATGGAATTAGTTAATGCAGTTGAAGACAAGAGTGGAATTGCCTGGTGGAATCTGTCTACATCTGTAGACACCATAGTTGTAAGAATAAGATTTATGAAATGCACACTGAAGCAAATTTCCTTCTTGTAATGGCTGTTTTTCTCCACAAACGTGCCTGGACAGCCTTCATTTCCTCTCTCCCTGAGAAAAACAACAGTTTTCCCTCTTCTCAAAAGTACTACAGTTAGGGTCTTCCATAGGCTTGCTAACTTTAATGATTCTTGTTCTGTTCCTAATGTGATAAGTAGAACAGCTTTTGTTTGGTTAGCAGGAAAATTTACTTGCTCAGCATGATTCAAGAGCTACAATTCTCCTTACGCCAGTTTTATTTTCAAGGAAACAAACCAGCATTTACGTCGTAGCTGAGAGTAAATGCTGGATGTGTCAGTCAAAATGGAGAGTGTTGTGTTTCAATGCATTGCAAGCAAGTACAAACATGAGATTAAAGTGGAAATACCATTTTAGACTTAACTGTAGTATTTACTACCACAAACACCACAATAAACAATTACTAAACTCTGGGAAGGATTTATGATTAACTTCTGGTTTTAATAGGAGCTTTACTCATGTTTAAAGCTATCCTTGAAAGACTTAAAAGATTCATGCTCAACCATGATTCCCAAGAGGCTGAGTGCACTAGGAAACTTGTTTAAAATGCACATTTCCTGTAGAAAACCAGTTCCATGTGGGCTTTCAAGACAAACAAAAGAATGTCTCCTTCTCTTAAATCAACCCATTTTTGTGCTTTGATGTAAGCTTTGTGAAACTCAGATTCCACAATTAATCATTTACAGACGTCTTCGTGTAGGTTTTAGAACTTCGCAAAGCCAAGACACAGAACTGATCATTGGTCAAGGTTATGGCACAGAAATCTATATGTGTTTTCTTGCTCACAAAAGCTGGTAGATTGATAGTATAGAAAGTTTTCCGTGTAAACACAGCATGGATTCACTCAGTACACATTTTGTTGTACTGTCCAAACAGTATGATTCCAGTCTGACTTGTAGGAATTTGCCACGGAAAAAAGAACTGTCTCCATGTATTTTCAATCCTTTTCTCTGCAGAAGGAGTGGTAATTAGATTTCCTCTCAGTACAAACTCCTCAAATATGAGGCATAATGTTTTCTGGTTTTCTGCTTGCAGAAGCTCTGTTCCCAGTGGGTGAAATTCTGCCCCCAGGGAGAGTGCAACTATGCAGCAGCCTGTAGCCCCTCCTCATGCAGGGATGAGTCTAATGAGGAGGAGGAAACAAGCTAAACAACACAATTCATAATGTCCTGTGAGGTGGAGCTGTGGCCTAGATACCAGCAGCATACTCTAAATTAGCAAGCTTTGTAAGCAGTTAACTTGTGGCAAAGGGAGAAAAATCAAAAGCATTTGCTTTTTCTTAGTAAATCAAATTGCTAGTGTAACTAAAGAAGATTTTAAAATTAACATTATTAAATACTAGTCTAGTAATTGCATATACTTTTTTTCATCTTTCCAAGATTAGTACCATTCAGTTTTAAATGACCCTGCCCATGACAGGGAGGTTGGATTAAATGATCTCTAAGGTCCCTTCCAGCCCAGGCCATTCTGTGATTCTATGAAGACGTCAAAAGTTTGGCTTTTTCAAACAGGATTCATATAATCCTCAGCTATTAGCTTTTTGACATTTGGTGTGGGAACTATGATGTTACAAGAGTAACTACGAATAAACAAGCTAGAGGAAAGATTATGAGAAAGAAGGTTCCCTTTTACACACATGCATCTCAGTGACTAACAACATAGAGACAGGAAATATTTAAAATGTCATATTTCAGTGCACATTTTTGGCTGAGCATAAAAGTTAAAAAACAAGATACGGTATTTTTCAAGTCTGAAAATATAATTGTCTACAGAAAAGAGGAATTTTAAATGTTTTGTCAAATCTGGTATGTACCATAATAAAAAATGTATTAACGTAAGCCACAGATTAAATCACAGCTAACGCTTGAATTTACACAGCAAACTACTGCTACTCTATCAAGTCCCTCAGTGTCCTGTCATAAAAGGCAAATGGTATGAATGGCAAGCAAAGGGTTAAAAGTAACTGTATCCCTAGAAGCAAACTGTCCCAAGCTTTCCATGTATCAGACATACACTTATGAAGTGGCTCCTATTGCCCAATACATAAGCAAAGCAACTACCAATCTTTCCACTGATAACAAAAGGTGATTAAACTTACAAGACATTTTGAATTTTCCTTGTTTGGAATTAAGACAGAAGCTGTAGAGGTAAATGGCATTTCCTGAGACAGGGTTTTAGTAAGATTTGTTATCTCAAACTGACACTGTATACATTTCGGTATGTCTTTTTCATGAAATTGGATTCCAGTTTTCATGAATGAGTGCAAATGTTCAGAAAACAAAAGCAAAAAAATTAATTGCAACAAAGGTACAGACAGGCTATCTGTAAGGTAAAATACGTGTTTACACTGCCACAATTCCCATTTTAGTGTTGGTCCAAAACAGATGAACAGTAAGATAATTTACATAATTTGTGCTGTTTACCAATAGACAGATACCAGTGGACCATCATGCTTTCTCTGTTACTTTCCATTGAATTGTAAGAAAATACCTTCTCTTTTTACCTTATCTACAGTTTTACAAAGATGCAAAGGATTGGTGGCTGTTTGGTTTCTATTTCTGCATGCCACTGGCATGTACTGCCATCTTCTATACACTAATGACTTGTGAAATGTTAAACAGAAGAAACAGCAACTTGAGAATCGCTCTCAGTGAACACCTTAAGCAGGTAAATATTAGTAACACTGATGTTTGAAGATTCTGTTCTTTTCTTTCAGTTAGCTTAGAAATGTTTCCAAGTGTACTTGAATATAGTAACTTACAGAAATAAAAATTGAGAATTAGACTATTTATGACATTAATGTATTCATTTAAACCCAGAATACAAGACTAAATCATAGTATAAGGAGGTAGTGAAGACAGTACACTCAGGAAACTAGGCAGTTTCTTTCCCTTCTTAAGTATGTATGGCACTTGTGCTCTCCTGCTCTTTAACCTCAAATCACTGCTGGCTAAATGCCTGGAAATTTAGCTACAAAGATTTGCCCCCCAAAAGCTTATTTTTATTCATAAAGATGACTCCATGGGTCCTCCCTACTTTTGGCACACTTTGATATGCAACTTAAGCTTCATATAAAAAGAAATTGTGGAATAAACTAGTTTAGAATAGAGTGGATTTTTTTTCAGGGTTATTGCACTGTTCCAGTGCTATTTCTGTAGCTGCTTTGAAAAGACCAACAGGAGAATATGATAAACAAATGGTCATAGAGTAAAGTTACTCATAGAATTGTCAGATCTCTGCTGGTTTTGCAGCACTGTCTGATGTTTAATGCCTAACTAAATTTTTGAAAACAATCTGTAGCTATTCCCCTGTGTTCATGTCAGCCCCTCGAATTCCACTCTTTCAAACGCCATATTCACAGACGTGAATCCCTCAGGCACAGACCCCTCTGTACTGGAGTGAGTTCTCTCAGAGAATCTTCCTCTGCTTGGCTCACTCCAGATCAGGGCAGACCAGAAAATCCTCCCCCTGTGCAGATCCTGCATTTTTTTCCTTTATCAGGCCCCGGGCTGCAACGCTGTCTGTCCTAGGGCCACACACAAGCTACTCCACCCATTAGAACTAGAATGGTATGTACAGGGTGGGGGAATCCACCCTCCAGCTTTCCCATCCTGACGCACAGTGGCCAGCAAACTACTCAGATTGGTTGCTGGAGGATGACTATATCATAATTTACAAATGCTTGTCTTGTTAACTATCACCTTTGCCCTTCTTTCGTCCTTCCTTCCCTGCAGCCTTGTCCACATTAATGTCTAGTCACGATCCTTTTCATATTTTCATTAAAACTGCCATTATAAGGAAGAAGAAACAATAATAGTCATACTCAAAACCTAACAAGATTTACTGTAAATCATACATTTGACTCTAAATTTCGTAATGACAAAACTTTGCAATGCTTATTATCGTTCCATTACAGTGGCAGTTGAAGAAGTGGTATTCTTACCCCTTCGTGCGCTTCTCTTTATCAAATCCACATCTAGCAAACACCACTAAAACATCTGTAAATCTTCAGAGCCATATAAAATACTCATCAAATTTAAATTATTTCCTGATTAAGTACTATGAGATTAAGGTGTAATACAGAAATATCTAAAATTTTGTTTGTAGAGGAACTATTTGCTTAAGACCATGAAGTTCATGTAGCAAGGATCACACAGCAAAATTAATATGCTGTGCAGTACCCCTTTATGCTACATGATGCATACTAAATAGAAAATAATACATCAGAGAGAATTTGACATCCTGACTAGGTACGTGGTAGAATGGAACTTTGACTGCCAATTGATTTAGGTGCCTTGGGTTTACAGATTGCCCCACATCAAGGATTAGGTACAAGTGATTTAACAAGCAGGTGGGATCCCAGTTTCCCTCATACACAAAAAAGTTTTCTTGCAGATTATGCATGTTTCTGAGTAAAGAGGTTTATGTGAGGGATTGCCAGAAAATTAATCCAATGTAGAGGAATAAGAAGGGCTGGGAAAATCATCAGGTTCAGGAAAGCCCAACAGTGGATTTTCCTTCTGTGTGCTCCAGCTGCACCAATCTCAGTGAGGAGCCGGTTCTGCTGAGGATGGCCAGAATCAAGCCCTATAAAAACAGTTCAGGGACATCAGGTAGTCTGGAAGCAGCACGTTGGGAATCCTTGCATGCGTTGTCTAGATTAGTTACTTTGCTGGCAACATCACTACAGTCATGAATTAGACACTTGGTCATTGTTATCTTTACTTCTTTTTCCAGCGTCGAGAAGTTGCAAAGACAGTTTTCTGCTTAGTAGTTATTTTTGCTCTTTGCTGGTTCCCTCTCCATTTGAGCCGAATTTTGAAGAAAATGGTATACAATGAAAGAGACCCCGGCAGATGTGAACTGCTCAGGTACTTCATTTTCTGTGTCAATCAGTTGTTTACACTGAAAAAAAAATATGCTGTCACACTTGGAGTTATGTCGTGCATGCAACTGTGGTGTTGGAAGAGCAAATACTTCATGACTTTACAGCTGTACCCACTTTCAGGGGTTTCAGTTTTAATGAGGTTGCATAACTTCAATAAATATTGTCTGTCACCATTGCATTCACATTCCTCTGGCTTTTGTGAACTTCTGTGGGACAGGTTATTATATACTTGGCATAGTAAAAGATTAGATTGAGGGAGTCAGGTAAGAGAGAATTAGTTGCTGTGACAGAAGAGATTGTAACCACAAAGAGCACAGGTGCTTCTACAGTATATGAACAGTTTAAATGTTTTGCTTTCTCTTTTGTTGCCTAGTTTCTTGCTGCCATTGGATTATATCAGCATCAACCTGGCAACCATGAACTCTTGTATAAACCCAATAGCTCTCTATTTTGTGAGCAAGAAGTTTAAAAACTGTTTCCAGGTAAGATCCTCTTGATAAGATTTTATGTCCAGTTGATGAACTGCATTAAACCACTTAGCTATTATCTATTTTTAGCAGCTGGGAGAAGAGGCATAAATTGTCTAGTTTACCAGCTAACAGCTCACATAGCACACATACCAAACTGGAAGTGGAACTTATCCACTTTATCTGAAATGCTAAACCAGTAAATAAATTTGACATAGTCCTGATATGTAAACATGCAAACTGAGATAAACATGCTCTTAGAAGTGCTATTTATCTGCATGTGACAAGTACATGAAATAGAATTTGGTTGATAACATTTCCCACTCCAGATGCAGACAAAGAACACGTACATAGGACACCAAGCTGCCTGCAGTTAAACAATCCCATTAACAACTAAAATTTTTAGGCCTGAATACCAAAGCAGGCACCTGAGTTGGCATTGGCACTTAAATACTCATTATGGCTTTTACCTGTATTTTTGCAGTTCCTACACATGAAAACATATTTTAAGGCTAAAATAGTTTCCTTGTTAGCTGTGACTCTGCAAGTCCCTGTTCACCTTATAAAGGCAATAAAGGAAGGAAGAAAATGAGGACACATACTGGTAAAGAAAGCAATGAAGTGGAAAAGGAAGACTGAAATGTCTTTATCTGCAAAGAAAACCAAAGGATGACAGGACTGTACCACTAAACTAGGTCTTCTAATAAGCTACTGAACAAATGTAATAAATTATTAGCATAGGGAATAACTGTTTGTCTGCAGCCTGCTCAGACTTACAAACTATTTTAAAGCAGTATTTTCACATGATAAATAAGAAGTCAGCTTTGCTTTTTACAGTTCCCTACTTCATTTGAGAACCGTGGAGTGGATAACATGCCTGAGCTTGTCCTCAGGTGAAAGGGTACTATCAGGCTGCTCCTCATATCATTAGTTCATTCTTCCCATTTGTTCTTCCAAATAAAATTACCATCAAACAACTCTAACTAAAGAATATTCAGCTATTATTTAATACTTCTCAGCATCTCATTATAGCTTAGCTTTTCCCTTCTAGTATTAAGGTCATTAATTCAGGCAATCTTTGCATTTTATACCTCAGTTTCTCACCCTACCTCTGTTGCTGTTTTACATATCCACCCACAGAAAAATAGTACATATATCTCAAGTCTGGCTCAACCTCTCTGCAACACTCCCTTCTCATGGAGTTCACTGAAGTCACAGATGTACTGCTGTTATGGCCATTGCTCCTCTGAGGCCCTAACTCTTTCCCCTAGAGGGGAGATTCCATTTACGTAGAATTAGACACTAGTTTTTGTGAAGGGAAGTGAGGATAGCTGAAGAATCCTTTCTGCTCCTTTCAGAAGAGACAACTGAACATATCAGCCTGTGAAGAACCCGGGAGTATGATCCTGAATGTCTATCTATTCTTAACTGTGAAAAATTATACATCTCGATATATTCACTGATCCTTTTCCTAAACAATTTTGCCTTCTAAGATATGAGAAGAGAACTATGTCACAGGCTGGGGAATTTTTGTCTTTTCTCTTGCATGCTAAGCAGCACACTGATCTCTAAGTCTGAAGTGCATGTGATAGAGGGAAAAAAATCCCACAACCCAGTTCTTACAATATGCATTGAATTCTGTCAGTTCTTGATCTATTTTCCTTCGTCAAACAAATTTCAATTTTGACTCTGTGGAAGTTTTTCTTAAATAAGAGACATAGGTCAGGCCTAATCTGCTGCTTTTGTGATGTTTAATCACAAGAACTGCATCCTAGGATAAAAAAATTGTCTCAGTGCAGCTATCACTTAAAAAATATGACTGGCAATCTGCATAGATTTGACAGATTTGTGTTAACCTTTTTTTCTTTCTTTAAATTTATTTCTAGTCATGCCTTTGCTGTTGCTGCTCCCAATCTAAGAGTCTAGTGACTTCAGTGCCCATGAATGGAACCAGCGTTCAGTGGAAAAATCAAGAACTAAACAATCACAATACAGACCGAAGCAGCCATAAAGACAGCATAAACTGAAAATTAAGGGCTCTGATACTGCTTCGGAATCAAACAGGAAAAGAAAAAAAAGTCACAACAAAGCTATTTCAACAGGAAGCCCAGTGACTGTTCAATAATCAATTCAGACATGTGCACCCTTGTACTTAAATCTGAAGGTGACTGAGTAGATTGACTGACTATAGGTGTGATGTTCTGTGAACTGAGATGCACTGGATGGTAATTCTGTCTCTGAAAATGGTATTGATGTGATTATGACACCAAAAAACTGTCTTGGAACTGCACAGGTGGTTGCTTTTCTGAGTCAAGCAGGAACTGTCCAGTGTCTGTGACAGGTATAATGCATCTTTTTACCTGACTGTCACCTGGAATTAATCACTCTGGAATTTTTCAGAATATACCAAAATGGAATCTATCTGTGACTATATTTTCTCTCTGCCCATTTTTCTTTTAACTTTTATTTGTGTGGTGGATATTTTCCATGCCTCAGTATGTTTTGCATATTGTTGTTGTTGTTGTTTTTCAGGTTTATGTTGGAAAATGCTGTGGCCCACATCAGTATTTTATTTGCTTATGTTACAGGACATTAATGTCAGGACATTAGCTGGGCAGTTCACATTTGTAGCACTTCAGTACTCAAAAATAGGAAGAGACCATTTAAAGTAGCATCAACCTTTGGCACTTAAGCACAGATTAATACCAAAAAGAGAGGTATTGATAATACAGTACTATACTGTGTTATTTATTTTAATGCTCTGTACAAAATAAACATAATAATCTATATCAGCAAAAAGAATGAAAGATGCCCCCAGAGGGGAACCTTACCATGTGTTTTTAATTAACCTGCCACATTAATTCTTAAACTATACAAACTTATTAATCTATTTAGACTATAGCTCTGTTAAATCTAAGTCAAAATGAAGGCCAGTGGAACACAGTGAACCATTATTAAAGCTGTCCAAAGACTTCGGAGTATATAATTATTATCATAGCAACTATGCACAACACTACGAAGCTCTGAGCAACTTGATCTAGTTAAAGGTGTCCCTGCTCACTTCAGGGGCATTGGACTAGATGACCTTTAAAGGTCCCCTCCAGCCCAACACATTCTATGATTCTGTAACTGTGAACAGGAGGTTATAGTCTTAGTGAATGCAGAACTGTGGAAATCTGTAACAGATGGATATGTGAGGATATTTTGTGCCTTATGCTTACAAAGTTCTTTGTCTTGGTCTCACAATGCTCAAAGATTTTAATGGGGTTTGATAGTTTATTAGCATTGTTAACCATACAAATGCTATGAATAATATATAGAATATACTGCTTGCGTATATGTAAACTGGTGATTTACTTGTTATTTCCATCCATTATGGTTACATGGCAAGAGATTCCTTGTTTGGCTATAAAAAATTTTAATACGTAGCCTTTCATTAAATAGTGGAATTAAATAGTGTGGTGTCATATATAATATGCCTCATGCACAAATCTGCTAGGAAATTTATAGCATCTGTTGTGCCAGGCTAAGAAGCAGTAATTAAAATCCCACAAATTTTTAAACATATGTTACATTTCAAGCAAAAGATAATAATCTTGCATATTTTTACTGCATAGGTCAAATTGGTAGTGCCTACAACAGTGACTTCTGCTGCACAAGTTTTCCAAATGTTTACATTCACGCAAATCCTCTACAGTATATTTAAAAAAGAAGTTCTTTAAATTGGTTTATGTGTTTTTGTGTGCTTTTGTCTCTATGACATATATGCATGTATGAATACATACAAATTTTTGTTCATATGTTATAAACCTAAATACAGTCTTCTGACAGTGCTCTGTAGTAGTGCCTAAGAGCACGCTTTTGAATGAGACTTGGCTGAATTTTATTCAAAACATTTCATCCTCGAACTGTATCAAAAAACATAGTAAATGAGTAACAATACTTCCCTTTGAGAAGGCTGAGTTAATGAGTCTCTTTACTTCCTGACACCTTCACTGCTCCTTTGACAGAACATATTGAGCAGATGACAAAGTTAAACAGGAAACAGATATTAGGAATGGATTTAATTTGTAAATTGCCCCTTCTTTATGTCAAGGCAGGAAAAAGCTTTGTGCACATTCCCCTCTTCTGTTATTTATCTGATGGTTAGATGAAGCAAAAATTCATGCTATACCAGCAATTCATTAATCTGATTGTTCAGAGACAATCTTTTCTACCTGTCTACATATGACAGTGAGTAGTAGAGAAAATCTAGGATAGAAACTTTAGGACTCTGAAGTTCTACAAAAAGAAAATAATAAAATCTATCTGCAAAAGCTTCAGACCCAGAAATGGACCATTTTTAGGCTTTACCAACACTGGTACCAACCGCAAGTCACAAAAAGCTGACAGCTTTCCTTTCAGCATTAACACTTCAAACACCTATTGCTTTCAGACCAATAATTGGCTCTATTATGTGACGCAGATATATGCATGTGCACACATGAAGCACAATTTAAGCCAGTTCAGCCTAGATGGAAAAAAATATCTTCCTACCTCCCCAAAGAGCTGACTGATCTTAGTGGCAGCATTAAAACTTTTTAACTAACAAAAAAAGAGCAAAGTATCGAACAGATGTGAGAAGTGGTTTTTTGAGTGTTTTAGAGTGATATTTAGAAGGTTACTTAGGGATCAAAGCCTACAAAAAAATAACTGGTGATCCTCATTCCATCGCCTCCAGCCGGTAGAGGGACAGATAGAGAACCTAAATAACAGTGACAGGTGAGGTCTTGGGAGATCTCAGACCCTTTTTTGCCATGAATGCTCTTGTATTTTCACTGGTGGCTGCTGCTCCCACTCAGAAAGCAATCATAGAGACAAAGGATGTTATGATGTGGCAGTCATGGTGATGGGGGAACTGTTTCTGTTAAACTTCCTAAGGTACTTATTTTTTAAATTCTTTCCCACAGGTAATGGTACGCATTTCTCCTAGTATTTTATCTACCCTCGGTTCTGAAAAAACTACCCTTCCCATAGAGCCAACAGAAGTATTTCATAATTCTGAAATTCAGCCATATTTAATTTTAATCTTTCCTTTTCCTGCCAAGTCCTGCAAAAAGGTGCTCTGGAATTTCTGTTTGTGCATCAAAACCAGTGTAGGTTTAGTTGGAATTTTCCTCTGCTGTTGCAAAGCTGCTGCTTTCTCTTTTACATCAGAACAGCTTTCCATAAGAATCCTTCCATCCTCCTCTTATGTTATAGAAGTTTTTGTCTGCTGTTTGCATTCCTCTCAGTTGAAGCAAGCCTGGCTTTTCTCTACAGCTGACAAGATCGCTACTCGACAATCTTCCGATTAATTTCTTACTCTTTTTCTAATATCTATTCATCATAAGCAAAATCCATTTAACTATTACAATAATCTTCTTCTGTGGACTTCAACTCTTTGGTCCAGTCAGTGTAAAATTTCATTGACTGTTTCTTCTTATATACAGTCTCACATCTCAATTTCAAACACTTTACAGTTTTCCTTAATTTTAGAATCCAGTTATTCCCCTTGTTTTCCACATGCATTTTTTCACTTACCCCGCTAAACATCTCCTCTTTGGTATATTTTATACGTACTTGTTTCAAAGATAGAACATACGTAGGCTATCACTTATATTTATGTTTGTATTTATTTATCTACATATGAAACTGTGCTTCAGAACTGACCTAGCCTACTCCTGTAGGAAAAAAGTGCATGTATATAGTAGCGATCATAAATCTCAACTGATGGAACTGTTAGCTTGGTTCTGTGAAAGAAGGCTTATGCAACCCTCCTCTGAATATGTTTATTTTTGCTTTTAATACAGTCACTTTCAGATGTTTACCTGTCTATCTTTTCATCAAAAAAAAAAAACCACAAAGAACCCCCTATTCAGATTCAATAAATTTAACAGAACAGAGTTATCATCATTATGAAGTTACAGAGAGTTTTACAAAACTGCAGGATGGGTAAGAGAACAAAATACTACTCATGCTCTATGCAAAAAAATTGCTGAAATGCAGTTTATATGTACTGACCAAATTCACAGGATACAGAGATGTTATGAATATTACAGACGCAGAAAAACTTTGGTCAGAGCCTGCAACTTGTAAGACATCTGAAAATCAAACCACAACACACAAATTCTTGGAAACCAGTATCTGTAAGTTCCATTGCTTGTGGAATTACTTGCTTTTTTGCTGTTTCTCTCTCATCATTTACGTGTTTACCACAGTCTTGCTACTATATAATTTGATTCTGTGAAGCCTTATGGGTTTCAGTTTGTGAGAAGACATGGTACAAATTCAAATTCTGCTGCATTTGTATGAACAGATTCCTGCTTAAACGTCCCTGAGGCAAAGCATACATTTTCATTAGAAGAAACACACTTGGACTGCATGCTAACATCGCCTTGTAAAATTTCTTCCAGACAATCAGTTGTGCAAAGCTTGTCTCAGGGAAGTATTCTTGATTCACACTTCTCACCTTTTCAAAGACTAAATAAAGGCAACTATCTCCAGAATCAGAGCAGAAGACACATAAAAAGTGTACAGAACAGAAACAAATCCCAAGTTGCATAGGATAAAAACCCCAAACCAATGAAAACCAGGCGTTTTACATGTGGCTCTAAAAGAAACAAAACTTTTTAGTCCAAGTGTGGGAAAGGAAGATATGAACTAAAAAAAATATAGGTTGTTCCCAGTGTCTCTAAAGGAAGATGAAACTAACTTACCTCTAGTATCTCATCTAGAATCAGCTTTTCCCTGTACAGTTAGCACTGCTTCTGAAATGAATTCTTGCCTGAGTCACAGTTTTGCAGTCTAATTAGTTACAGTAGCTTATTATTACAATAAAGCTCAAAATAGTAACTGTTACAATCCATAAGAAAAAAGAATTTACTTCATTTTTCAGCATGACTTTGCCCACATTTCTCACTCTGCCCACATTTCTCAGGGTAACTGAGCATCTGCAGACTGCTCTGAAATCAATGATTTGGAAATACTTAGTGCATTTCAGAAAAAAAAGCCTTTACTTTAATCTCATGCTGTCTTATTCTTTGGGAGTAAAAAGACTGAGTCTACAAGTTACTGAATAAAGCATCCAAAACAAGTTATGAGAAGCATTTCTAAACCATCCAAGAGAACATGTATTCTGCTATATATTTTAAACATAGGGGAATTCTAGAAATCCATCATTACTGGACACCACTGTGCCATACTGTAAACACACTTCATATTTATTGAAATCCCTGTCTAAATTTTTTGTGACTTCTCCCCTCCAAAATTTTTGTATGATGGTCTCCTTGGTATTGCCTCTGAATAAAGTACAC